TGTCCAACGTCTTGGCCAACAGCCTGTCTTGTTTCGTTCCCCTCTCCACGGAATGGACGGTCGACACCGCCTCCTTCCGTTGGCTCTGCCAGACGTTCGGCCGCCCCGAGGTGGACCTCTTCGCGTCAGCGTGGTCGTGGCGCCTTTCCCTGTATGTGGTGCCCTTTCCCGACTGCGAGGCCGTCGGGATCAACGCCTTTCGGCAGGACTGGTTGAGGTGGGGGTTCCAGTACCTCTTTCCCCCGGTTCAGCTGTTGCTCCAGGTCCTGACTCGTTTAGAGACTTACCAGGGGAGAGTTGTCTTCTTGGCCCCTTGGTGGCCGGCCCAGCCATGGTTTCAGGCGCTGCTTGCTCGGTGTCCAAACCCGGAGGATTTTCCGCAGCTCCACCTCTTCCAACGGATTGGCCCAGTACGTCACGTGGCTGGTTCAATCTTCTCCTCGAGTCTTCGCGTATGGTATTTTTGACTCGAGTTTATCATCATCTCTATGGTGATCAGGTGGCTTCCTTATTGTCCCACCTGCGGGCTTCGTCTCAGCGGCAGTATGAGGTTTCCTGGCGGTCCTTCCGGTTCTTCTTATGTCTTGTCGTTATACTTCCCTTTCGGTTAAGGTTGTGTTGCCCTTTCTCTCTTGGTTGTTCCAGGACCACCATCTTATGTCTAACACTGTCGCCTCGTATCATGCGGCGCTGGCGAAGCCACTTCAGCTTGCTTTCGGCATTGATGTCACGTCTGTGCCGTTTCGCAAGCTGTCTCGGGCGTTGTTTCACCTCCGGCCTGCTCGTGCGCCACCTGAGCCATCCTGGTCTTTGGACAGAGTGCTCTCTTTTCTATCTTCTCCTCGTTTTGCTGTGGCCCCCCTCGGTTCTGGATTGTTTTTCGAAGGCTCTTTTTCCTGTTGGCATTGGCCTCTGGGGGTCGGGTGGGTGAGCTTCATGCTCTCCTCCGGCGCAGAGGTTTCTGCTCCTTCGGTCGGGGTGATCGTTTTGTTCGTCTGCAGCCTTCTCCTTCTTTTCTGATGAAGAATGAGACTGCTGCGTTCCGGAGGGGCTCTTGGGTTGTTGATGCTTGGTTGGTTCGGCCGGGGGTGCATCATGTTTTGTGTCCGGTTGCGGCTCTTTGCCGTTATTTGCGCGCCACGGCTTCTGTGTCCGTGGATGCGCTGTGGGTTGATCCGGTTTCCCTTCTTCCCTGTTCGAGGGTGCGGGTCTCCCAAGTCGTCTGCAGGATTATTAAGGCTAGCCAGCCTGCGGTCTATCCCCGTGCCCATGACGTCCGTAAGTTTGCGACTCTTGCCGCAGTCTTTGGCAATATGTCCTGGGCTGACATTCGGGCGCAGGGATTTTGGCGGTCGAACAGGGTCTTGGCTGCTCGTTACCTTGTAAACGTTCCTGGGCCCGGTCGGGCCTGTGTCGCTTTGGGTCGCGGATGCAGCCAGTTGTCTCGACTTCGGGTTGAGGAGTGAGCAGCAACCACCTCCTGGGTATGTCCCTATTCTTTCCTCTGTGGGTAGTTAGCTCCGGGAGCCGTTGGGGCTCCCCCAGAAAACCAGCGTTGAATGTAATGAAACACTATTTCCTGGGTGAGTCCTGGAGGCTCCCTGGCATCCCTCCCTCCTTCTGGTCGGCGTGTTGTTCGCGAGTTTTTGACATCCAGCCTCAGAACTGGGGTGTGGATCGCCGGCGTGGTGGGTCTGGGGCTCCCCCTTCCCCCTCCCGGGGAGGGGGGGCTGCGCAGACAGCGGTGCGACGACGAATGACGTCATACTAGTTTGCTCGTTTTTGTTTGGAGAGTTCTATCCACTCGTTCGGCTTTTGGTTTAAATATTCACCAGAATAGGGGTTTGTTTTGGGATGGCTACCTTTCTGGGTGCCTAACCCGGTCAATGGCAGACATAGAATGCTTCCAATCACACGGGGGTTTCTATAGGCCATTGCTCCCCTTGCCTCTCTGAGGGGGCCAGGTTCTGGCTCGTGGTCCCCAGTAGGCCCATACGAACTCCGTACACATGACTGATGCCAAAGTCTGACATACGCATATCAGCCTGGTAAGCTCCAGGGAGCCTCCGGGACTCACCCAGAAAATGGCTTTCATTACATTCAACGCTGGTTTTTTCGCATTGGTTGAAGCTTAGCTTCCGAACTTGTGCTAGGCAGCCGGCGCGGTGAGGTCCGGGGGGCCCCCCTCCCGCTCTCAGGGAGGGCTGCAGAGACGAGTGGCACGGCAGTATAGTGTGATGTATGTTTGTTTACTCGTTTCCTTGGGATTGTGGGGTTTCTACCTCTCTGTTCGTTTTTTTGTTTTAGTTTCTTACCATGTGGGGTTTGTATTGTTATGCCTACCTTTCTCGGTGCCTAACCCCAGTCGATGGCAGATTAGGAAAAACCCCAACCATAAGGGGGTTTTGCAGGGCCATTGCTCCCTGAAACCTCTCTGAAGAGGCCAGGTTCTGGCGCTGGTCCCTGGTAGGTCTGAACTCCATAGCTAATGTCCCTGTCTAATATAAAGTACATTAGCCCAATAAGCTCCAGGGAGCCTCCGGGGCTCACCCAGAAAATGGCATTTCATTACATTCAACGCTGGTTTTTTGGACTTTTTGAGGTTTAGTTCCATGGTGCTTTTCTTTCGTTGCTCGATGTGTTCACGTCTACCTTGGCCCTGGGATTGTTTGGCCTCCCTGGGTTGTTTGATAGGTTCTCTCCATCAGGTTTGCTGTAAGAGTTTGCTGTGGTGTGACAAGTCCTGCAAAGGATTTGTCTTCCTCTGGGTTCTGTTCTCCAACTCCATTCTGAATGCTCTCCAGTTATTCATTGTCTGAATCACCAGAGGTCACTTCGGTTCTTCCCTCTTTGGGGCTGAACTCTGCACCTCAGCTACTAAATTCTTCAGGTTTGGTTCATCACGTGGTTCATGTGTTGTGTCCAATGTTCTCATGAATGGGATGTGGGTTTTTTCTATTCCATTTCCATTGAATGAACTTTGGATGACATATCCTTCTGTTGGCTCTGAAATATTTGGCTGCCTCGAGTTGACCTCTTTGAGATATCTTTGAACCTGCCACATCTTCTGGCAGATAGGCATCATTATTTGTCCTGGGCAATGTCTTTGTTGTTTCTGGTTGCCTGCTGGTTTCATGAATTCCTTAAATAGCTCCGTTCCCTGATTGCAAAGCTTTTACAGAAAATATCTTTTGGGTGGACTGATTGAAGTGGTGGTTTCTCTCTTTCCAGCTGTTGTCCAAGATGGACTTTGTAATGAGCAGGGTGATTCTTCTGGCTCCACGGTGGCTGGCTTAGCCTTGGTTTGTGTCACTTCTGGTCTGTTGTCCGAACTTAGGCATTTTTTCATGGCTCGGCCTTTTTCTGCAGATTGACTTAGAAGCGTACCTATCTGGTACAACTTTCTCCGCTGATCTATGCATCTGAACTTTTTAATGCAAGTCTATCAACATTTGTATGGTTAATAGATGGCTGAGTTGTTGTTATCCCATTTGTGTCTTTTTTTTTCTGTGACATTAATAAATTTCTTGGCACTCTCTTTCACCTCTTTGTCTCTCTTCATTGTGTTTCCTCTTTATTTCAGTGGTTTTGTTCTTCTTGTGTTGGTTGTTTGTCAATCGGCATCTTATACCTAGTACTGTTGCCTCTTATTGTTTAGCCCTGGTAGACCTGCTTTTGTTGGCGTTAAGCGTCGATGTTACCTCGGCACTGTTTTGCCAATTGTCTCGTGACTTCCTTCATCTCTGATCAGCTCGGAGCTGTCTTAGTCTCTCAATACGGTGTTGGTGTTTTTTCCTTTCCTAAGTTGCCCCTTCAGTCTATGATATCTTTTTAAGGCTGTTTTTGGAGGGTTTGTAGTTTTGCTAGAGTCCTCAAGGGGTTGTTGCATTCAAACCAAAAGCTGAATCATCAGACAGTTGAGTCTGATGATTCCCGTCTGGGACTCTACCATGTCTTCTGGGTGATAAGCATTATTGTTATTTGTTCTGGGTAGTATATTGGTAATTTCTAGTTACATGTGGGTATCCCGAATTCATCCCCCGTTTTGAAAGTCCGCTGTCGTATTTTCTTTGGTAGCAGAGTGGGTGGCCTTACTTCGACTCCTGCTTTGGCACTGGGACCTTGCCTCTTGCTTGGGTTTGGCTCTTTCATTACTCGGCACTCATGGGCTTTGTGATTGCATTGGAGTTTAGGGCAGCACATTTTTGTCTCGCTTCACCCAGGTTTCATCCTTGTTAATACCAGGCTGTATGCCCAGTTGGTCCTGGGCTGAGTGCTCTTGTTGTTCTTGGACTGTTAGCCTGGATGTCCCCATGTTATGTACCCTGACTTTCTTGTGTCTGTGCACTCAAATGGTCACATAGTTGTGTGCTTGAATGTTGCCAGTGCTGTGCACTCAAACATTCCCAGGCTACACACTAGAATGATCCTGGGTTGCATGCCTGGCTATGCCTGGGTTGCATGCCTGGCTATGCCTGGGTTGCATGCTAGACCTTCCTGTGCTGCATGCCTGGCATTATCCTGGCTCGATGCCCTGCTGTTTCTGGTCTTGGGTGCATCAAGGTTACGGTGTTTAAACAATGTCATCTATCATTTGCCTTGTTACTAGGGAGTACCAAATTGTTTGTGGTGCATATGCCATCTGGTGTGGCATATTTTTTAGCTTTGGGTTTATGCCCCAAGCTCCCATCACCTTATAGAGAGTGCCATATTTTGGTCCTGGCTCCTAGTAGGCAAGGATGTATTTCAGAGACCTGGTGCACCTCCCTAAAACATGCCTAAACCAGTGAGTAAGTCAGAGAGCTATTGAAGACCCCACTGGTAAAGATCATTTCATTTCATTAAATTAATAATATTATGGCCCAGTGCTAGATGTCCAGAAATGGAGTCTTGTATAGAATGTACATCATATTGTAATGCAACTCGCATAAAGAATGAAATCTTGTTTGATAAATATATATTAGATGTCAAGATGTTTAAATTGTGCTCATAATTTCCAGATAAAGAAGACACGAATCACGGGAAAGCACAAAGTCAACAGTATCGTCACAAGATGATGCACAAGAATGAACATAAACGGCATGGGGCTCAGACCAAGTTTAACAAAAACAGTTAAGGTTGATGCTGTCTATTCAGCTGGTATATTCTGAAAATTTTCTTCTACATGCAGATAGCTCAACCTTTGAGTCTGCTGCTGTTGTTACCAACTTATTATCTTCCAAAGATAATTGATTTTTTTACAAAAATGTTTATATTACTTTCTCTTGATAAAGTATATTTATTGGCCAATGACTGGCTTCTGTTTTGCTGAGGAATGACTTTGAAATAGATTGTGATAAAGCTATGTAAAATGAATAAAATTTGTTGCTTAATGTAATTTTTTACTATGCATCTTTATAGAATCCATCACTCCTTACAACATTATTCAATTGATAAGAACTGGAAGATATCCCTACAAGTGTCATTTTGCTTCCAGTATGTATAGAAATCGGCGAATGTCAGTGTGATTTTGTCCAATATTCCAGATAACATTTCCATTTCAACAGAATTTATGACCAAATTGGAAATGGGATATATTTCTATATATTATATTTGTCTACATATTATATTTTTAAATGAAGTACCTGTAAATATAAAAGTGATGCAAATGGTTGCAGGTGTGACTAGGCACCCAAGAGAAGAACTTGTCTAGATTAGGTGGACAGATTCTGCTTATCTCTCTTTTTTTTTTTTTTTTTTTTTTTTTTTTAACAAAAAATTAGGCTTTTCTGGCATAACCCCATGTGGCTTCCTGAAAATACTACACTGATACACTGGCATATTACCTTGGTGCTCAGTTGTGAAGTTCTTATTGACCTACTGGAAACCATGAGCCAGAACATGGCGCCATCGGAGATGTGCAGGGAGTGGTGGCACTATGAAAACCTTTTATGCAAAGTTATTCGTGTAGCTACCACCAAGGACAGGCACCCAGAAAGTTATCGAAACAAAGCAGACTACTGCATGGTTAGAAATAACACCTCAGTTTCAAAACTAAAAAAAAAAAAATCACCCCAACAATGTAAACAGATTAAAATTTCATGAAACTAGCGTGAACTAGTTTGTTCCACCTTTTTCTCTCGTTTGGGGAGAGGAGGGAGGCAGGCTGAGTCAGCCAACTGCTCCACCACCAATTCTTATACTGATGTAGACAGTGCTGGTCGCCCCTTGATCACTTTGACTCGCGGTGTCTACTGTGTTGCAGGTGTTTCTGGTGGGTATGTTTGAGTTCCTCAATGCATGCCCCTTTGCTCCAGCCCTTTCCCATGATGTGGGTCAGTTGCAGCTGCATGCTCATATTACCAAGCTGTCTGGTTGCTTTGGATGCAGACGACCTTCATGCGCTCTCTCACCTGACTTCTGTCGTATATTTCTCGAGCCTCCGAGAACTTCATTTTGATTGGCTCTCAGAGGACGTGGGGATGCTCGGTGAGGCTTATCTTTGTGGGGGTTTTGGTCTCTGCTGCTATACGTTGTTAGCCCTCAAGCTGTATGCTTTGATCCACCGGGAGGTGGTTTCTTTGTTTTTCACCTCGCGTCTTGTGCATCGGCAAGCCATGCTGGTCCAGTCTTTAGACTCGGTGTGGGGCCTGTCTCTCACTTCTACTTCTCCCTTTGCTTAGCTTTTGTTTCCTGAGGACGTGGTTTCTCAGTTTTTGTCGGTTGCAGTCACTGCTTGACAGCCTGGGGCAGACTTTTTGTTTCAGAGTGGTCATTCTCACCTTCCCCAACAGTTTGGTTGACTCAGGACATTGCCTGCTGTTGGTCAAGGTGGGTCCTCCATCGTACAAGTTGCCGGGTCGGATGTATGTCCTGAGGCCTTGTCCTCTTTGTCTTGGCGGTGCTGTGATCGCTCTGCTCGAAAAGCTGGCTTTCAAGGTTCACTCCAGCTCTTTCGCAGGAGGTTACCCCTTTAACGAGGAGGTAGGTGGGGAGAGGCTAGCTTGGTTTGCCAGTTCTTGGTCCCGCAATTTGTGGGATTTTGGGTTGCTTCTTGCAGCCTGTGATGATGGTGGTCAGTCTTGCCTCCTTATGTGGGTTCGGGGCAGGCCTCCTCTTGCTGTCATTGGGCCATTTTGGAGTGGGTAGCTTCAGGCGTGGTTGAAACGACTGTCTCTTTAGTGGGTTTCCACCTGTTTCCAGTCCCAAAACGGGATTCTTTGGATCTCTGGTTCATTCTCGACTTGTCTGGGTTGAACCAGTTCATCTTGTGCTTTTGGATGACCACAGTGTGGCAGGTCCTTCCCCTTCTCAAGCCAGCTGCTTGGGTGATATCTCTGGACCTCCAGTACACATTGTCACGTTCCTATCCATCCGAGATTCAGGGATTGGTTAGGTTTTGTCGCGAGGCGTCAGGCAACCAGCTTTTGGGTTCTCCCCTTTGGGCTGAATCTGGCACCTCGTGTTTTTTCGCATTTAACTACTGCAGTGTGCAGACTGCCTTGTGGAGTTATATCGAGGGTGCGCAGAGCACATTGTGCCGGTTTTAGGTATAGGGAGCAATTCAAAACTTCCACGGGTACACGAGGCTCACATCCTGCGTCTCAGGATACCTGTAAACAGACACCATTTTTTGTTTAAATCGTGGGTAACATTCCCGGGTGTGAGGGCCTTAGTACTAAGTGAGCTCATGCTGCTGGTGCGCGCAGCATGAGCTAACAGCACTGCTGTTTAGCTGGTGACCACAGCATCGCCAAAAAATGTCAAAATATATATTTAACTGTTATTATTTAGCAATGATAGTACAGTATTACAGAAGGCCCCTGACTGTGATAAAAATGATCAGGATTCTGATAATAGCAAGATTGTGGTGATAATTAGAACTGCGTAGTATGGTGGGAGGAGTAATCTTGGTGAGGGAGGGAGGTAGCATCGTCTGCTGACTATGTGGCAACCTGTTATTGTTTGGACTGACCATACCAGCTTAGTGGTTCGTTATGGTGAACACAAATGTAGATATGTACTTATATATAACTTTAGTATGATCTACTAAAGCATTTATTGAGATATATCTTGTGTGTATATATAGTGTAATAACAGCAAAAGGAGTATGTTGGGAGGAGAAATAGTGCCGAGTGAGGTGCTGGTGAAGGACGGAGGGAAGTGGTGTCTTTTGGCTGGTCTGTGTCAGCCACTCTTGTTGTTTGGACTCACAAATAATAATATCAGGGATGCCAGATTTGAGTTGCCGAAAGTCGCGAGCTGAAGAACTAATTGTTACAAACTTTACAATAAAAGTTGCCAAATATTTTTTTTCCGATTAATTCGCTTTTTAGAATAAACAGCAAAGCTTATTTTAACTGTAGCCAAAAAAATTGTAAGTAGTGACGTACGTAGATGGTTTTTTAATTGAATGCAATTATCCTAATTGGTAACCGAATTGGGCTACAAATAGCCCAATCTGGCATCCCTGCTCACAATACCAACTTAGTGGTTCGTTATGGTGAACACATATGTAAATACGTATATACAATGTGTGTGTATATAGTCTAAAACACCAAAAACACTGATCATAGAATATAATATACATGTCACATATATGAGCCCCATTATTTTGAGCATAGTGATGTTCCACACATTGGTTACCAATCTTGAGAGGTTATCTTGAGATGTTTTTGGGGCTTAGCGTCCCCAAGGCCCGATCCTCGACCAGGCCTCCTTTTTGTTACACACCCCCAGGAAGCAGCTTGTAGCAGCTGTTTAACTCCCAGATACCTATTTACTGCTAGGTAATAGGGACTTCAGGGTGAAAGAAACTCTGCTCATTTGTTTCCTCCTCACTGAGGATCGAACCCGGAACCTCAGGACTACGAATCTGAAGCACTATCCACTCAGCTGTCAGGCCCCATTGAACTATATAAATTCCACAAATTACACACACTTTTGAAAAATATTACGGCAAAGAAACAGAGAAGAAATGAACGAGAAACATCAATATAATTGTGAAAAATTATATTTGCAGCAATTGCCGCCCCACGGGGTGGCGGGGTCAAGTGACCCCGAGCTCTTCATCGCTCAGCGCCCATAATTTGCTCAAATTCTCGGCTCCATCACAGCTAAAGTATGTCACATACAATATTTTATTTTAGTTTCCCATGATCAGAGACTGCAATTTAACAATATAAGAATAGAAAATAATTTTTTGTAAAGAATTTATTTTCAGCGCATAACGGCAATGTCATATTTTAAGGCTGCGCAGCATGGTGGTTAACTCACGTTGTGGTGGCCAATCTTCGGTTGTTAGGTGTTCAGGTGTTGGCCTACCTGGTGTTGCAGTCTGGCTGGTTTGGGCTCCTGCATGTCTGCTAGCAATGGATCTGGTTCTTTGCCAGCTCAGCAGGTTAAGATTCCTGGTGAACTGGCGGAAGTCTCAGTTGGTTCCCTCCCAGATTTGAGCCTGGTTTTGCCTAGTTTTGGACTCTTGGTTGGCATTATTTTCCGTGCCTCCTGTGACCTTGCTCCACCTGCAGCACCGCCGTCTCCTGGTGTTAAGGGGGAGCCAGGTGACTCAGCAGTTGCTCGAGCAGTTGTGTGGGAACCTAAACTTTACCCTTCTAGTTTTTCCTTTGGGCAGGGTTTGGCTTCAGAGGTTGTTTTGGTTTTTTCGGGGCAGCCCCTTGTACCTCTCTCCTGATCGCTGTGTGTGGACTTTGGGTGGCCTTGTGGTGGCTGCTGTGTCGCCAGCTTCCTCTTCAGGTTTTTCTGGGTTCAGTTCCCTGGTGCCTTCTTCCTCCCTTGTTCGATGTCTTTATGCCACGGACACCTTGGCTCTCGGTTGAGGCTTTGTGACCAGCACTCACCAGTTCATCCAGGGTCATTGAAATTGAAATAAGTTTATTGAGATGAATTCACAAAGGGATGAGATAGCTCAAGCTATTCTCAGTTCCATTCAGTACATGTTCATATATACACATAACACAAACAGTTTAACATATTACCAATCAGTCTGGTTGATAAACATATACATTTCTTCCTTTACACATGCAGTATGATACCAGATGTACACACATTCTTTAATGACTAGGAACGTAGACATAGGTTGCAATAGATATGCGACAATTCAATAAAAGGTTACAATCTTGGTGCAAAATTCTTCTCTCTCTCTCCAGAATATCATCAATCATTCCATTGTGACACATCCAGGTTATTTGTTCAGGAATAATCCTTATCACAGAATTTCTATATACATTAACTATCGGGCATTCTAGAACATGATGGGTGAGTGTGAGACTTTAACATATATAGATTTACACTTTGTTTCATCATATTTCATTAAAGTACATCATATTCCCTGAGACCATTAGCCAATCCCCTCGTGTAGCATGTCTCTCTCAGTTTCCTGGAAGCGTATATGTTCCTCAAGCAATTCTGAATGCTGTGAAAAAGCTTATCCCCTCTTCCTCTCCTCATGAAGCAAATAGATACTCTAATGTTAGTAATGTCAAGGACTCAACCTTTGCACACTGTAAATTTGATTTCATTCTCATTATTTCAATCATTGCATTTCTTTGACACCCAAGAATAATTCTCATAGCTTCGTTCTGTATCAGCTCTATTTTCCAGAGCAAATCGGCTCTATTTTTCTTTATATTTTTTACCATTTGAGAAGGAAGTTGAAAAATTAACTCTCCAAAATTCATTTTTACAGTTTTATTTGGCCTTTGTCGAAGTCAGAGTAGAAATGATTACAAAGTGTCTTGCTGCATAAGTGCCCGAGGATGAGGTGAAAGTGAAGCACCTCACTTATAGGTCCATTGTATCTTGTCACACTCCTGTTTGCTCGACGGCTGGTGCAGTATGTTGTATATTTATACGTCATGTTCTGGTTGTTGGCAGTGTGTAATTTGGTATTAATAATTTGGTCTGGGTAATTTGGTAATTTACAGTTGGATATTGATATGTTTCTTGGTTTGCCTTATATATAATGCCTCACCAGTGTCCAATCTTCTGTTGTTGCTGTATCTCTCAATTATTTTTTAGTTTGTGAACATATCTCTGGTAAGGGTCTGGTTATGTATAAAAATGTTATGTTCTTTAATAGGTCCTTACTGCTTGTGCATTGTTAAGTATCTTGAAAGGGACATTGTTGTCTTGCCTATATATTTAATTCGTTGGGGCTGACAATCCCCAAGTGGGCATGTGAAGGCATAGACAACATTTGCATTTTTTTCAAGGGGGGTTTGTTTGGTTTCAAGAGAGTTCATCATGAGCAATTTGGCAATCTTCTTGCTTTTATAGTATATTATTAGTTCAGTCTTCTGGTTGGTGTCATCTCTTAAACTTATATCAAGGTTCCATCAGGGCAAAGGCTGACCTACCCCAGGATACAACCCAAAACAGTTGTCTAACTCTAAGGTACCTATTTACTGCTAAGTGATTGGAGGCATCATATTTAGGAAAACATGACCAGGTACATGATTTGCAAGTTTTTATATGACCATTTTTAAATTACAGTACAGTATAGACAAGCTATAATATCAATAAGAAATTTTGTTCACGAGGTTTTGATTAGAATTAGATACATATTTCATTTTTTATACAAAAATATCCACAGTAAATGCTGGACTTCAGCTCACAGCATAAAACAGTATGGATGAACATGTTACTGGTATTGTACAAATAAGGAGAGACAATAATAAAAGTCGGTGTTCATAGAGCACTGTACAGCAATTTTTTATGAGGTTTACAAACAACAAATTTGTTACAGGTTTTCCAGTGTTGTAAATATAACAGCTGCATCATGACTGACAGTCCATCGTTTGACATTATAATCTAATACTACAATCACTTGTTCAACAAAATTCCTATCCTTCCAGGAGTTAATGTACTGTATATAGTTGCATATAATTTATTTTTCTTCAGAACACCATTGTTATGCTTTTTTAGTCTTGGGTACACCATAGGAGAGAAGAGAGAACCTGGCTTTGATAGTACTCTGGATGATTGTAGGTGTGTGAGCGTGGACCTCCTGCCGCTTGAGAGCTGTGTCCACCACCCATGACTCAACCCTGTCTGGAAAAAGATTATACAAAGGATTCTTGTCCAGTGAGACTTATTAAAATAATTATAATTAGTTACTGTACAATAATTATTTACATGGCTGATAGAACTATATATCTGTAATCATTATTGTAAGTGCTATATATTTGATCTATGTAATAGTATGGTTAAGGGACATAACTGGTAGTCATATCCATCAGCCACTACTACTGTTTATTAGTCTACAAACATATAAGCTAATGCAATACCAATATAGATGAATTTGGTTTGCTCAGTCGCCAATTTGCTCACATACCAATGTATGGTATGGGGTTTGATTTTGAAGTGTGTACTCTTTAATGTCGGGCTTATGAATTGCAATGAAAATTATATTTGTCACTTAATAGTTTCATATTGCATAACAAACTTAAATATCGAAGTAAAAGGTAAACTTAAAATTTACCATAATAGCAGACTCTGAGGGGAAAACTACTGGAATTCTTTGGTATGGTAAAGATTTACGATGGATTTGCCACACTGCTTGGACGTCCTGTGACCTATAACTAACTTCGGGCATGTAATCACATCCCAGCTTCCAGTGGACTGAACCCACCAAGCAGAAACACCATTCATAGACAAGGAATGCAAAGTAGCAGAATTTACCTAATTCGTTCACCCGATGTCCAATGCACCCACCAGCCTCTCTACCAATAGCAATAATAATAATAAGAATTTCATATTATAAATACAGTATACAAAAGAATAATATAGGTTTAATAACTATTACAAAAATGTGTATATAATAATGCCGTTAATACACAAACCTGCTTCATGGGGTTCTGGGAGTTCTTCTACTCCCCAAGCCCAGCCCGAGGCCAGGCTTAACTTGTGAGAGCTTGGTCCACTAGGCTGTTGCTTGGAGCAGTCCACTGGCCCACATATCCACCACAGCCCGGTTGGTCCGGCACTTCTTGGAGAAAATTATCTAGTTTTCTCTTAAAGATGTCCACTGTTGTTCCGGCAATATTTCGCATTCTCACTGGGAGGACGTTGAACAACTGCGGACTTCTGATATTTATACAGTATTCTCTGATTGTGCCTATGGCACCTCTGCTCTTCACTGGTCCTATTCTGCATTTTCTTCCATATCGTTCACTCCAGTATGTTGTTATTTTACTGTGTAGACTTGGGACCTGACCTTCAAGTATTTTCCACGTGTATATTATTTGATATCTCTTTTTGTCTCCTTTCTACCGAGTACATTTGAAGAGCTTTGAGACGATCCCAATAATTTAGGTGCTTTATCGCGTCTATGTAGGCCGTATATGTTCTCTGCATTCCCACCACTTCAGCAATCTCTCCTGCTCTGAAGGGGAAAGTGAGTACTGAGCAATACTCAAGATGGGACAACACAAGTGACTGGAAGAGTACAACCATTGTGATGGGATCCCTGAATTTGAAAGTTCTCGTAATCCATTCTATCATTTTTCTAGCTAACGCAATACTTGCTTGGTTATGCTCCCTAAAATTTAGGTCGTCAGACATCATTATTCCCAAATCCTTTGCATACTGCTTTCTTACTATGGGCAGATTTGATTGTGTTTTGTACCCTGTGTTATGTTTAAGGTCCTCATTTTTATGGTACCCGAGTACCTGGAATTTATCACTGTTAAACAACATGTTATTTTCTGTTGCCCCAGTTGAAAACTTTATTAATATCTGCTTGAAGTTTTTCAATGTCTTCAGCAGAGGTAATTTTCATGCTGATTTTTGTCATCTGCAAAGGATGATACAAAGCTGTGACTTGTATTTGAGTCTATATCTGATATGGGAATAAGGAAAAGCAGTGGGGCAAGGACTGTATTCTGAGGTACAGAGCTTTTAACTGCTTGTACTTGTAGGCCCCTCCTAACCACTCTGCATACTCTGCCTCAACCCAGGTCGCACTCCAAACCTGTTAGGTTAGGTTAGGGTCTGTAGGTTTTATTTTCATGCCCTGTAACCTGGGGCTGGTCCTCTCCCCCTTTTCGGTTGAGATGATCTGCCTGTACACCTGCTCTAACAAGGTGGTCCTTTATAGACTTACCTCGCCTCCTGGCGATCATGGGAGGGTTTTGTGGGAATTTTACCCAGGATGGATATTCACTGTACGTTTCTCTCATCCATGTCCATACTTCCTGGAGTTTTATCTTAAGCTGTGCTGCAAGGCCGGGGAAGAAAAGGGTTGGGAGGATCCATCTCTTGTCTTCCACTTCTTGTGTTATAGGTCTGAGTAGCTCTGCCCTTGTTTTTTCTCCGAGTTTCTCCTGGGCTGCGTGTATTATTGTCTTTGGGTAGTCTCTGTTCCTGAACATATCCCGTAGGTCATCAAGCTAGGAATATAGCGTCTCCTCTTTGTTGTTAATCCGCTTGAGTCTGAGTCCAAGTGAGTAGGGTAGCGACTCATTAAATAAAAACCCGGCTCTTAGGTGCCGCAGCAAGGACATTCATATATATTCCTATGGGAAAACTCAAAAATGCCATAAATACCAAACAAGATTTATTAAATCAAGATTGATCAAATGAATATAAAAAAGAAAACACTCCCTATCTTTAATACTCCCTAAACTGAATATATTCCTAAGGGGCAAAATTATTGGGAATTAACTGTACCAAACTCTCAAGCACTTTACCGTAATCTAAGAAACCAACGGAGGTTGTTCTGGCTTCTGGAGGTGACATGGTGACCTCCCAACTGCTCACTCCACACTGACTAGCCTGCTCTGTCTTTAGACTGAAGCTAGCTAGTATTACTTCGCCAGCTTTCCTGGCTATTAAATTACCAAGCAGGGTTAAATTGAACAAGCTAATCTTATTTACTGGCCAACCCAGATGGTTGAATTCCTATTAAAACTGATGGTAATTCTATGGGCATCTTGAGCCTGGCTATTTTCACTTACGATATTGAATAGTGACCTAAATTTATATGCTATGAATTAATAATACAGTAGGCTGTGGTCACCCCATAGGCCGCAAGATCCTTGACCCAGGCCGAGTCATCCAGCGTAACGAACTAGCCTCTTCACTTCTACATGACGTCACTTTCTCTGTGACAGTATATGACCCTGATCTTTACTCTACATTCATGTTAACCTAACCTAAGACCTTAAACCAGATTGGTTATTACTGCAATTACTGTATTTATTGAATTATTCATCACTTGTTGAATTAATACCAGGGAGGTAGCCATTTTGTTTCCTGCCTTGCTAATCCCTTAATCTCTGGCCAGTGACCTTTTTCCGACTAGTCAGGTAAAACTCCTCTGTCACTGCAAGTTTGTGTAAAACCATGTGGTACAATTTAACCCCTATGATCTGAAATCTATAATTTCTACACCAAGCTTAGCTTGTTACACAATGTCTACTGCTTTAACCACCGTGCTGCGCTGAGTTTATTGTGAAATTTCCCCGGTGCACATGAAATAAAGTGTTCCCAAAAATTTCTTTTTCTTCATAAAATGATAAATTCCCTTCCCTGAACATGTCTATGTAAAAATAAATACCAAATTCCACTTACTTTGGCTGTGGGGACGTGAACAAGGTGCGCTGTGACGTCATCAGGGGCTGGTCGCCCGTGCATGAATCGCCCAGACACGGTCACGCGGGCCATTCAAGCACCGGGTGTTGTCACAAATATATTTTCAATTATTTGTTCTATGTATTTCCAATGCGGTTTTATTTTATTTATTTTTTATCGTACATGATGCATATTTGTGTCCTTTACAATATGTATACAGTAGAACGTTCATAATGTTCCATGGAACTGTGATACATGTGTCAGTAATGTGTCCAAAATAAATGTTTATTGTTGCAATATTACTTGTTAAAAATTCACTAAAATTACAATATGTACAGTTTCACACACTATTTACACAGTAACACACTGTATTACACACTCAGTACTTCGGAAGTGAGTAATAATCAACGAAGTAGCCCATGGTACACAGCGCGACTTCGCTCTCAGTGCACCAGGTACAGATAAATTTTCGCTTCCTGTTTCTTCATTCTGTGTGCTTGCAAATAATGCAGTCATGTACACCCTTGGCTTTAGTACTTGTAGGTTGTATGTAACCATGTTGCTGGAATTATCCAATGGAAAGGCAAATGCCAATACACATGGTTCCAGCAATGTCGCAGGAGCTGCCAGAACGAGGTTGACGTCAACAACGAACTGCCTTAGGGGCTCCAACTCCGGATTTTTCCTCGAGGTTGACTCCTGAAGCCTTTCCCAAAAAAGGGGTATGGCCACAAGGTAGTGGAGGTTTAAAATCAGGGTTTTCCTTCCCCTAGATGGGCTGCCTTGCCAGGCTATCGAGTCCCATCTACCCGGAGCAGCTGGTTTTAAGGTGCCAGAGGCACGCCCTCGCCCCTTCTCCTGTCGGTAAAAGCAGTTCCGCCGGACTTAAAGACTAAGCCACCCATGCAGGGCAGGAGTTGGACTTGGTTGTCAGAGGCTATTGGAGACGCATGCCGTATAGGAGCATTTTATAGGTCATGGGAGCTCGTCCCCTATTACCACCCCCTGGCTATGACAACCCCTTGGAACCCAATATAAATATTATAAATACTATAATATGTGTATTATGGACACACACTACACATTTATCTGTACTCACCTAGTTGTGCTTGCAGGGGTTGGGCTCTGGCTCTTTGGTCCCACCTCTCAACTGTCAATCAACTGGTAATTACTGTACCTAAATAATTACCTAAGTGTAGTTACAGGATGAGAGCTACGCTCGTGGTGTCCCGTCTCCCCAGCACTCTTTGTCATATTGTACAGATTCCTGAGCCTACTTTTCTCAATCATATCTACATTTGAAACTGTGTAAAGAGTCGGCCTCCACCACATCACGGCCTAATGCATTCTACCTGTTAACTACTCTGACACTGAAAAAGTTCTTTCTAGTGTCTCTGTGGCTCATTTGGGTACTCGGTTTCCACCTGTGTGTCCCTTTTTTCGTGTACCACCCGTGTTTATCTTACAGTTTATCTTTA